CGAGGGGAGGGGAGAAGTGATAAGGCATATTTTGAGTCCCAGCCATGTCACAACCAATGTCGCATCACGCCCCCGCCAAGTTAACATGAGAAGTATTTCTACGCGCCAAGATAGGATCTGTACCAAGGCACCTCTTGGTACATCCTGTCCTGGAAAGCTCGGGACTGCGCCTCATGACGTCGTTCCGTGCATTCCAAGACAGCGGCCACACGAAGGTACCACCTCGCCACTCGGGGAACGACCACGGCGCCAAACCCGCATACAGTTAATCCTCGCATAGTAGTATAAAAGCCTCTGACTGGCATCTGGCCAAAGGAGGCGAAAAAGAGGAAACCAATTACTAACGTAATCGTCAAGGGGCCAAAGTCAGGAACCCTCGACGAGGGCCTTCTGTGCATAAGCACGACCAACCCCGGAAGTGTGACCGCCCCGACCAAGAGACGCCCTCCCCGAGGATGACGCTAGTGTCTCGATAAAGAGGTGCTTTCCCTTAGACAACGTCTGCATCCCGACTCGCGAGCGTGATCAACCTTGGCACCTCCCCCAACCGATCGTGAACTTCCGACATCGACCCATGAACCAAGCTGTGCTGCACTGGTCATGGTACACTCGTTCATCAATGATGAACAGTATGCAAACATTTGTTAGTCTCAGACAGAAGTATCATGCTTTTTTAGGTTAGTTGAAGTATGCAAAATCTTGCAATTACTTGCATGCCAAAGGAAACAAAGTGATTTCAACTTTAGAAATAACAAAAGAAATGTCGATGTGCAGAAAACAAAATTTACTATCAGCATAAAAATAACATTGGTTACCAAAGAAAAAAACAGCTGCATATTTTATTTGCATGCTAAGAGAATTTAAAAAAAAAAGAGAAGGTAATCAATAATTAGAAAGCTGTAAGAAAATTGTAAGCAAACTAGCCACTCATTCTTATGGCTGAAGGTCAGTATAGAAAAAAAAATTACAAATTCAAGAAAAGAAGTAGGTCAGTATGAAAAATCTTCACTCAATCTCTTTTCCTTTTCTTGCATCAAATTTCTGCCCAATTATGAAAAATTTTCGATATCAGACTCTATTTGCACCAGATAAATCATCAGAACCATAACATGCTTCACCGTAAAACCTTTCAATAAACTTCTGATGACTAAAAACCAACGCAGATGTTCCATGTAGATTGACCAAAACCCACAATCTTCCTGATTCATGTATGAAAAATAAGAAAAGAAACACTATCGTAAGCTACATGTTTAATATAGGACTGTATAAAGCTGATAATTCATTGCAAATGATTTTTCATAGCCAATGTCCTTTGTTTATCATGCCTTATTCATTTCCAAGCCACAAATTATTATTCCGAAACTTTAGCTCAGAAGACATGTTCGAGCTGATAGTCAGTCGAGCAAACAGAGACCCGCCGCTGAATAGGGGTCCTACAAGAAGGACAATCTTTCATACCCTTCTTCTCATGAAGCTCATTGCATTTTGTGCAAACAACTTGGTGAGCACAGGGAAGGAAGACAACCGACATCTCCTCTGATAGGCACATAACACATTCGCGTTCACGCTGTAGGTCTTCAGATGCCAAGTCCTGAGTATCCATGATCTTGGCCAATACATACGAGTCGTTACTTCTCTTTCCATCTGAAAGGCGGGATGCATAACTTTTATCTGTTCCCCACCTCAGTGTAGCAATATTTGACGAGTGTGTGACTAGCCGTAACTGTGCAATCTGCTGTTCAAGTCTACGGATATCATTTTTACATCTTTGCAAAACATTTTCTGCTTCCAATTTTAATGCATTTTCCTGTGATTTTGCAGAAGTCTCAAGCTGTTCCCGTTCTTTTCTTTCAGCATTGGCTTCTGTGAGTGTATCATCCTTCAGCTTCTCTTCTTGTCTCCACCTAGCCTGCAGGTTTTTCACGAGGCAGAACTAAGGAGAAATTCTTTGATCAAGTATTGCATAAAAAATACACAGCTTCTTAGTCAAACCAACACTAATGGTTAGAGCTAGTAAAAAGATACTGATAATTTAAGGAGAAAAATACTGAATTTTCAAAAAAAATCCAGTGAATTATATACAAACCCCATGAAGAATGAAAAAAATGAAGGTTATTAGATTCCTTTTCAAAATCTATAAGTTTATTCTCAATATCTATAAACGTTTTAATAGCCTGTTCATGAAGCTGCAAATTACTTACTTTTCAGCAGAACTTTCCAAGAAAATTGACAAATTAATGTAGGTTAAGATCAAATCCAAACTGGAAAACAAAAAGATTATTCACCATATATAAGGCCCAAAAGCTAGAGAACAAGATTTAAAAAGCTTTTTAGGGCAAATTGGATGCTAAAGTGAACAGATTGAGAAGGATGATGTCAACTTTCAAACATATGGGGCATTTACATAAATTATCCAAATGATATTTGTATAATGTGGGCCTAGCCACAGTGACTTTAGCTTCCAACCATCTGCGTTCAGTTGCATAGATCTTTTCCCACCATTGAATTCTATTGAGAATGATGCACTATCCAAATTGAGATCCGTCAAATCTCTTTTCAATCTTTTTCTTAAGTTTTCATTTCTTTTTTTCTTCTCCCTCTCTTCACACATTTAATCCTGATTGTAATAATCTGCAATTCCTGTCAAGATGTAAACCTCTGTGCTTGTATTTCAGCATGCAACTCAATGACGAAATGTAGCTTAAGTGACACCAATTACAAGTCCTAATATTCTCTTAGTTATCACACCTTTCTCACTGCTCATTCCGACCATTGCCATTCCTCTAATTATCCACCCAACTACAGCTACCTGACTTCATGGTTTGGCATTCTTGCCAACCACCAAATACCTGCACCTCTTTCAACCATGATCCCTCCTGCCATCCATCCCCAACAAAATCATTTGTAAGCTCTAATTGCAAGCAAACATATTAAATAGTTGCACTTTACAATTGCAAATGCAAGAAAACCAGATGTTTCTGTAGCATATCCAAATACACGTTTCTAATTATAATGCACTTGTGATTGCCACTCAAATTCTGGGAAATCAGACAGCCCTTTGGACAATAGCTAATTGTGGAAGTCGTATGACCAATTTGTACGGCAAGAGAACAGCTTAAACCATCATCAATAAGATGAATAAAGATAATTCATAGCCTCACTGTGATCAACAACACTTTATTTGCAAGTTATTAATCTCATACCATGTGGTTGTTGACATCTTAATTTGATAACTTCTATTTATGTTGCTTGGCCTGGATATCAGTTCATATTTTATCTTATCCTTTGCAGGTGACAGCCTCTTTTGCAAAAAGAGAAACACTTACAAAATCTTTTACATTTGATGATATGGACTAAAACCTTAAACTACGTGTCTTAAGGGAACTGATTATACAGTACAATTATGTACTTTTACTGTTCAGGCAACTTTCTCTAATGCATTGCATGCACTTCCCCACTTGAAAATTTGAATGATACACTATTGAAAGAGATTTACCTCTGATTGATCTCTAAGCTTCTTGACTTGTTCAAGTTGCTGCTGCAGCTGAGACAGTTGATGCTTTTCAGTTGCAAGCTCCTCCTGAAACAGGACTTGCTGTTTTTCCCATGACTGGAACATTTTAACAGTCTTCATCTCTCTTCTTGAAACTTCTTGACAATTGGCTGCTGATTCTGCAGCACGTAATTTTGCAGCTTCCATTCCCAACCTTAGCTGAGTGTTCTCAAATTCAAGCCTGTGGGCAGCAGCGTTAGCCCTTTCAACCTGGGCACTTGCCTTTGATATTGCAAGTTCCATCTCAGCAAGCTTTTTCCTGGTATTTTCTTCCAAAGTTTGCCTCTCCTTTTCGAGACGAGCCACTTCTTCTTTTTCCTGTCTCAACGTTTGCAGCTCAGCCTTCTCCTTGCTCAGCCTTCGGGCAGCCTGCATCACTTTTTGCTGAGCCCAGTCAGTCCAGTCTTGCAACTGCGCCTGGAGTTCATGCATTAGGGGAACTAATACAAGCAACTTCTCATCCTTCTTGTCCTCTGGGACCCAATCTCTGCACATAATATCAGAATGGATTGGGCTATTATTGCTATAATTTGCAGCATTAACGTTAGGTTCCTGCTTAAGACTAACACCAGCATTGCTCTCAGAAGGTAGTGACAAAGAAAGTTCAGTATTTGTACTAGATGCTGGTAACTGACTGCTAATTTCTTTTGCGATGCATGATGGACTAGATGAGTGTCCATCACTAAAAGAAAGGTTAAGGTTAGCATCTGCTGTTGATTTGTTGATTCCTGCACCTTTCCCAATCTTTAATGAGGAGCTCTTCAAACTTATGCTTGCGGAATCCGATACTGGATTGCATTTCCTATTTAAAATTAGGCTACTAAGCCCACTCTGTTTACATGCTCTTGAAGCTGCTTTAGAACCCAAGGACCGATAGCTCTTCTCAAAGTGAACTGACTTTTGTCGGAGGACAAATTCTCTTTTAGAACTACCTACATGGACCTTTCTACTGCCAACAGGCTTCTCTTCCTGTGAAGATCGAGAAACAACAATAGAAGATTCCTGAGCATGATTATATGACGAAATCAAGCTTTCCTTCACAGGTTTAGGTTTTGGGCCCATGCCATCCTCATTTGATGCAGAGAACCTTCCACAAGGTAGGCTCGGGATCCCTACCACTTTTGCAGTGTTGGATTTCTGCATGTTCTCAGGACAAGATATGATGCGATTCAACTTCTCAGGCCCTTGAACATTTGTTTCGGTGTTTATTGAAGGGGAGGTGTTATTAGAGACTGACCCTGATTCCAACTGGGAACCAGTAGAAGTGCCCAAGTATTCATCATATATGACTGTGTTCAACAAATTGCTATCCATCGCACAAGCATGGGAGACATTTGCATCGAACATCAGCAAGTGCCACATTGCATCACCTGTACTAAAGAAAGGACTGACATCCCTAAGCACACTTATCATATCGGCCAACACACTTTTCTCCAACTTCTTCAGATCCTCAGCAACATTCTCCCTACGAGAAGAATCCACCTCTTGCCCACTCCTCAGGAAAACCAATGCATTGTCCACAACATTAGAAACTGTATCCTTATAACCATAACAGAGCCCTGAGCTCAACACAGCATTTGTGGCAATTTCCTCGGTGTACCCATGCGAAGTGATCATCTTAATCGCGGTCCTAAAGACCATATCCAAATTACTCAACAAGATCTCCTCGAGCTGGGACTCGGTGAGGCAACTCCAATCGACATCCTGGAATTCATCCAACTCCAGCCCCTCTTTGTGCCCAAACATATGAGTCCTACACACATCACAGATGCCTGCATGGTTGTGTTCGGCGATGGGAATCTCAGTACTTTTCTCCGTTGGGAACAACTCGTAGTCCGGCAACTCCATATGCAATGCATCAGCGACCGTATTCGGGTCTGCCAGAGGCGGATCAGCTCGGAACTTCCTCTTGTTCCTGCTACTTGCTTCCTGGATCGGAATAGATGAGTTCAGAGGGCTACTGGCACTAGTAAGTACTGTGGCCATCTCGACTATGAATTCCTCCTCGATGAATCCTAGCTTATCACTAATGAATGCAGAGACAAATTACGGAATGAGAAGAGGGGAATCATGTAATTAAAATTATAAGTGGAATAAATGGAGAAATATGGTTCGTGGGGATCAAACCTTATCGATTTGGGGGAAAATGAATACAATCTTATTTTTCCTGCATCAAAGAGATTCAATTTAGTCATAAGGTAAAGAAGGAAAACCTAAAAAAGATAAAACTCTCATCAATTGAACAAAACGGTACCAGACAAAGAAGAAACGAATTAAAGACACCAAATTCCCTAAAAGAGAGCAAACGAAGATGAGATCCATAGCATGCATGCAAGAAATTGAAGAGCACTGCAATGGATCAAAGGGTTGCCGTGATTGATCATAGAGGGTAGATCGAAAGGGGTGAAAGTTATTAGGGAGGAGAGCTAATGGGGATCCTGGCTAGAGAATGGGGTTCCGAGAGATCGATCGGCACCCACCCGATTGGAGCTGACGGCGAGTGGATCAATCGCAGGGTTGATCAGAGATCACGCGATGGATTTGGCGGCGGGGAAGGGCGAGTAGGAGCTCTCTCTTTCTGCTGCTGCTGCTGCTGCTTCTGCTTTGCGGTAGAAAGGAGTAACACCTTCCTTTTTTTTATTAATCTTTTTATTATATTATACGCATACATCACGACGAATTTTCCTCTAAATATTAAAATTCTCCACACATTTATTATTGTTAACCTGCATTTAAGTAAATCATATTTAATATTAATTTATTTTATCAAATAATTTTAAAAATATAAAATACTTGATTTTTCTATTTTTAATATCATAATGTTTTTTAAGAGATATTGACAAAAAAAAAGTTAACTTTCTTTTCTCAAGGGTAAGCGATGAAAGTTTTAAAAATTATTAGACAGAATTTTAAGACCTATCTTTAGTTTATGGGTTTGGTAAATCCAAGCAGGCTTTAAATTTCAAAACCATAATCTGATTTTGTAGCATTACTATACCAATGTTTTAGTAAATTCATCGGAGTACATGTCAAATCCCAGTTGTAAGTGGATTAAAATATGTAATATGTTATATTAAATATGAAAATAATCTTTTATTTCATGATGAAAATCAAATAAAATTAGATTTTATTTTACGATGCGTAGCTTTTGATACCATGTGAAAAAGAGATCTCTATTTGATCTACAAAGGTAGCATCTTTATATCCAATATTACTGTCAAATTGCAAAGAAAACTGGATCGTTCTCTTCTCTTTCTATCCTTTCACAGGACTATAGAAAAATCTGGGGTGGGGCCGATATCACATGTGCAACGGAAGAATATGAAAACAAAATCCTCAAATTTCTCATCGATATGTTCATCGTCATGCAAAGATTGGTGAAGGAGATCAAACGTCCTCTTCGATTGGTGAAGGAGATCAAACGTCCTCTTCTTTAGCGGTGATCCACATAGTAGGGCTACGACGATACTCCTCAAGTCTCTTGGCCTGCTATCTGAAGAGGAGAAGAATAGAAGAATAGGGGAAGGTAACCCAAAGAAGCTCTAGCCTATGAACCATTTGTTCTCTCCTATTTATAGAAGTCTCTTGTCAACTTAACCCTAATGGATCCGGCCCCATTGGGCATTGGATCTCTATCCAACTATCCAAGCCTCTTATATTAGTGGATCTCTATCCAATAATCTCTCATTGGCTCTTATTGTATTTCATCAATAAGATCTAATAATTTAGGGGCGTATTGGATATCCAATAAGATAGGGGCTTCGACGGATATCTCATATCTGAATGTCTACTCATCGCAATGCTTACTATATGCGTGTGACCCTCTAGGCCCAATATCGAGTTGGCCATGAGTAATACCTGCTAAAACTCCTTCTGGCTTAGTGAATTATTATCTCCATAATAATTCACTCGACTTATCGACTACAGATATACTAGGCCATTACGCCGCAGTCCCTAGAAGATACAAGGGAATCCAATCCATTGGACTTGTCTATCCTTAGTTACTATATACATATAATCCCTAATCCATCTAATATCCCAGAGACTGTATATCGGATATGGTACTGTCAGACCCATACGATTTATGCTCGAGTCTTGCTATAATCGGATTCTCCCAGAGAACTCTTTCTCTCTAAATCCGAATGACCCTGGCTAGGGATTTGTTTGAGCAAGAACACATGGGATATTCCTCTCATGACACCGAGAGTGAATGATGTTGAATCTTAAATTTTGATGATGAAATTAATTGGTGTGTTTGTCATCTAATGTGCGTTTAAGTGACACAGGACTAGTTTCGATCAGAAAAGGTAAATTGATTAAAGCAAGAGGAATCAGACATTGGGCCAGAGCAAACATGTCAGAAGATTGGACATCAGGCCGGAGGATCGGTTAATGTGTCGGCAGAAGGCTTCGTGCCATGAATTCGGGCATCGAGTCGAAGGATCAGACATTGTGCCAAGGAGATCGAAAGTTACAGAAGTCAACATGCCGATTAGGCAATACGCCAAAGGATCGGATGAAGTGCCGAATGAACTAATGATATGTCGGACAACATAGGATTCGCTTATAATTGATTATGTCTAGATCGAGTCGGTTTAGAATGTAATTAGGCTAACTCAATTAGGGGTCAACTGGGCCCAAAGTGAGGCTATTTTGGGCCAAGAAAAAGGCCTATTCAATGACCCAAAAGTTAGGCGATGGCACTACCGATCCAGGTGGTGGCACTACTAGTGGCTCAGTCTATGAGACATAGTCTCCGAGACTATATCAAACGGTAGTATATATTAGGCAGTGGTACCGTCCAATGTCAAGCGGTGCTACCATTAGTTTAGGTGGTACTACCACCAAGACACAGTCTCTCAAATTGTGTCACGTAGTGGTATCGCTAGACTTGGTGGTGGTACCACCCAGTGTTAGTGCTGCAAGTAGTGGTACCGCCTAGCACCCTAAAAACCAAGGTTGAGACTTTTTGACTCCAAGTTTGAATCCACTTGGGGCCTATAAATATCTCTCTCATCCTTGCTTAGAAGACACAAGAATTGAGAGCAAAAAAAAAAAAACGCTATTGTAATCTTATGAGAACTCCTCTCAAGCTCTAAGTATTGGTGAATTTTAAGAGAGGAGGTAGTGGGGGTGTAAAGGTTCTCTCTTGAACCTGTCAAAAGGAGAATTAAGTTGTAAGGGTAGTTGGTCTTCACCCATTGAAGGAAGATCGTTAGTGGATGCCGGTGACCATGACAGAAGAGGAATCGAGAGTGGATGTAGGTCACGATGATCGAGCCACTATAAAACTCGGTTTGCAATTTTGTTTTAATTTTCATTCCTTACAAATTACTTTACTTCCTCGTTACTTTAGCTGCACACTCTTACAAACATTTTCAAAGTTAAGCATTTCCGATATCGATTTTTATCAAAACGAAGATTTTTTGAACCGATGTCATTTTTATCGTAAGCACTAATTCACCCCCCTAGTGCCGACTCAATCCTAACATATGATCCTTTATCAATACTCAATAGTCCTCATAAGGTTGGCTACTACTCCCGATGACAAACTATGCTAGATCTAGAACCTCCAGACCTATAAGTCCGGTATCAAAAAATGAAGTACTCATACAGGACATCCTTGGTGTCTCAAATATAAGGACTAGATATATCACTAGGACTACGAAATTGCTATCTGATAATAAGTCATCATCAACCATCCAACATTTCGTAAGCAGCTTAATTAGGGAACTCATTCTCAAATGAGCACCTTGTTGAATCTCAAATTTTGATGATGAAATCAATTGATGGATTAATTGATTTAATCTATATTATTGAGTTAAGTGTGTAGGATTAACTATGATAACTTGAAGACACAAAGCAAGTTTACCGAAGTCAAGTTCGATGGGTGTTCGAGAGTCCGTCGAAAGTCCGAAGAATCGTCGAAAGTCCGTCGGAAAGATCGTCGGAGGTTCACGGAGATCATTGAGAATGTTCAAATACTTGCCAAAGACTCGTTGAACCCACCATAAGACCGGAAGCCTAGTGGGAGTCCACCGGAAGAAATTCGAGAGTGTATCGGAAGTCTATTGGAAGTTCGCCGAAAAGCTCGCCGGAAAGAAACTCAACGTTGCCGGTTAAAATTTGCTTAAGGCTATGTCTTAATTTTATAGTTTGCATATAATTTGGATTAGAATTAAGGGTTAATCCTATAACCCGGTTAGGGGCCAATTGGGCCCTAGTTTGGACTGGTTTAGGCTATGTTTGGAGCCCAACTAGTGAGCTGGAATAGTCCAGGCGGTGGCACCGCCAGTACACTACAAGACTGGGCAGTGGCACCGCCAGTACACTGCTAGACTGGGCAGTGGCACCGCCAATACACTGTCAGTGTCAGACACTGACAGGCGGTGGCACCGCCAGCACCGGAAAACCCAAAAGCAATTCAAATTTGGAGCCTAAATTTGAATCCTCTTGGGGCCTATAAATACCCCTCAATTCTCAGTAGAGAAAACACCTTTTTGATAAGTTAAAAAGTGAGAAAAAGCTCTAGCAAAGTCTTGTTTTCAATAGCTTAAGTGTTCACCTCCCTCTCTCTTTGAAAAATCTGTAAGAGTGTGAACCACTTGTAAGAAGGTTGTAAGAGGGGTATTTGGTCCTTCCCTTTCAAAGTGATTTGCTAGTAGAAGTTGGGAGCCTCATCGAAGAAGGCTTCGAATATAGATGTAGGTCATTTGACCGAACCACTATAGATCGTGGTGTTCCTTGAATGTGTAAGTGTTTAATTTTCTGAACCATTTCTTTACTTAGCTGCAAATCATTCGATTTTCATCTCCCTACTCTTGATTACCTTTACTCGAGTTATTTTAGCTAAGTCATCCTTTATCGAATCGAAATCTCTACACATTTACGAAATCGATTTCAAACTTAGGAGTTTTAATCCGCTGCACTAATTCACCCCCTCCTTTTTGTGTCACTTCGATCCTAACAATTAGTATCAAAACAAGGCTCACTCTCATATTTGGTTTAATACCCAAGAGAGATGGCTTACTCCGGCATGCAAGAGGGTCACTCTATTACACGTCTGCTTATGTTTAATAGGTCGGATTACACGTATTGGAAGACTCGTATAAGGATCTTCCTTATTTCCATGGATTTTAAGCTTTGGAATATTATCGAAAATAGATTTAAAAAATCTTCTCTTCCGATGAGCGAATGGGATGAATCGGAGAAGAAGGTTTTTGCTTTAAACGCAAAGGCTATGAATGCCTTGTTTTGTGCACTTAACATAAATGAATTTAATCGCGTTTCGATTTGCGATTCGACTTTTGATATTTGGAGAACTCTTGAGGTCACTCAAGAAAGCACTAGTCGAGTGAAAGAGTCCAAAATCAACATTCTTATGCATTCTTACGAACTTTTCCGGATGAAACCAAGTGAGTCCATCGGAAACATGTACACCCGTTTCACGGATGTCATCAATGGACTCAAAGCTCTTGGTAAATATTTTTCTAACTTTGAACTAGTAACTAAAATTTTAAGGTCTCTTCCAAAGAGTTGGGATCCAAAAGTTACAGCCATTCAAGAGGTCAAGGACCTTAAAATATTTCCTCTCGAAGAACTTATTGGGTCCCTAATGAC